ACCTTCCCCTATGTATAACACTGCTATTAACTTTCTGCTATGTATAACATTACTATTAACCTTCCCCTATGTATAACACTACTATTAACGTTCCGCTATGTATTACCACTATTGTTAACCTTCCATCGTGTACAACACTACTATTAACCTTCCGTTATGTATAACCACTACTGCCTTCCCTCTAGTCTTTCACTGCTAAATTAGGGACGGCTAGCGCAGATAGCTCTCGTGCAGCTTTGCGCGAAATTCAAAAACAAACAAACAACAAGTGAATATCTCAGTTTGTTGGTAATTTCAATACTATGTTTGAAGCCAATGTTTTCTTGTGTTTTTTATTTATGTATAGCATCAATCACAGAGTTCGAGAATATTTGAATTATAGATTTTTAAATTTAGAGATCAGCAAAAATGTAAAACAAATTAAAAAAATCATAAAATAACGAGGAGTATTTACAACGATACATTGGTATTGTAAATGTACACAGAAATAGAAACGAAAAATGCATAAATAGTGTTAAAAAACTGTTATCTTTGACCGAAAAAATATCCATAAACAATATTATGCCTATAAAAAAAATTGAAATGATTAACTCAAACTCTGCAGGCTTGCGAAGCTAAAATTCGGGTTTTAATTCCCGTGGTGGGCAGACCACAAATAGCCAGTTGTGTGTATTTAGCTTAAGAACAACCAGTGAATAGCTGAAAAGACGTTAAAGGTATATTTCCATTGTAAAGTATTACAACTATCTCAACTTCCGCATGTCTGAAACGGAACTAGCGCGTGGTATTATTCAACGATCTCAACTTCCGCATGTGTGAAACGGAACTAGCGTGTGGTATTATTCAACGATCTCAACTTCCGCATGTCTGAAACGGAACTAGCGCGTGTAGTATTATTCAACGAGCTCAACTTCCGCATGTCTGAAACGGAACTAGCGTGTGGTATTATTCAACGAGCTCAACTTCCACATGTGTGAAACGGAACTAGCGCGTGTGGTATTATTCAACGAGCTCAACTTCCGCATGTCTGAAACGGAACTAGCGCGTGTGGTATTATTCAACGATCTCAACTTCCGCATGTCTGAAACGGAACTAGCATGTGGTATTATTCGCCGGTTGTCTAACTTACTGAAAGATAGAAAATTTAGAATTCATGCGGAAGGAACCTACTCCCAAATACTTTTCATCATGTATATCAGTAACATGATCCTAAACGATCCGAATGAAGGC